ATTTGACGTGCTTGAAGCAGAAGATCAAAGAATACAGCCTTAAATATGGATTGTATCTCAATGTCAAAAAAGCAAAGATTCTTACCACTGGACTGATAGGCAGGATCATGACAGATGGAGAAAAGGTTAAAACTGCCAACAACTTCATCTTACTTGGATCCCTTTAGCAGTCAAGAGAGCAGAAGACATACTGCATGGAGAAAAGTCTATACTAAGGGACTGTTCCAAATTACAGAGGAGGAATGATGTCAATTTGAAAACTAAGGAGTGTCTAATTCAGGCCACGGTCTTTTCAATCACTTGTTATGCATCTGAGAGCTAGCCAGTGAATAAAGATAACAGAAGAAGTGGTGCTTTTGAGTTGTGATGCTGAAGAAAAGTGCTGCCAATTTCATGGACTGCCAAAGCAACTAACAGATAAGTCTTAGAGGGGGTACAGCCAGAGTGCTCCTTCGAGGCAAAGGTGGCAAAGCTTCATCTTACATACTTTGGGCATGTTGCTAGGCGGGGCTATTCCTTGGAGAGGGACATGATGCTGGAAAAGGTGAAGGGCCAGTAAAGAGGAGGAAGACAGATCCTCAACCAGATGGATTGACACGGTGACTGCCACAATGGGCTCTTGTGTGTTGGGAAGTCTGAGGATGGCACAGGATAGAACAAGGTTCAGATTTGCTATTTACAGGGTTGCTATGAGCAGTACTCAACTCAACAGTGCCTAACAATAAAAATTAAGACGCACTGCTGTTGTCTGCTATCAAGTCATAGATGATCCTCCAGCAGGTTTTCAGAGCCTGTGAACTTCACGGAAGGAGAATAAAGGCCTTTCTTTCACTCGAGGAGCTGCTGGTGGGTTTGAACATCGACCCTTAGGTTGGTGGCACAACTCCTTACCAAGTGACTAGGCCACCAGAACTTGCTAAAGATGCATTATTCACGCTTAAACCCCCCCCAAAAAAAACTCAAAAGCAACTTCAGTACTAAAAGATTTTGAAAACAAAACAAAAATAAAATCCACAGAAAGATACAACAAATACATCACTGATCGCTGTCACTCCTGAGCTAGCCTCTGTAGGGAAGGAAGGACACTGCTTCCGTTTGTCTTCGCATTTGTCCCAGCAGGTTCTGCAAGGTTGAAAGCAGTGTTCCCATAGGAGGTTAATGTCAGTTCTGTCATATGACGCCACTTTATTCCCTGAGTAGCACACAAAGTGAACTTCAGTCTTAAATATCTTCAGACAGCAATTCCATTAGCTCTTTCGGACAGTGTAACTAACAAAATAGGATTTGTATTCACTTGTCCTGACTTTATCAACACCTAGAGAGTCCTCCTCAAAGCAGGCCAAGTCCTGAGCATATCAAATGACTGTGCAAGGACCATACTCTTGATCCCAAGACACTCACGTGTGTGTAACACAAACTTGGTGTCATATAGACTAAAGACTGTTCACCAACACTTGTCCTTGAACCACAAATAAAATTCCACTTTCAGATGTGCACAGATGTCTGGATGAAAAGCACAAGGACACAAAGTCATGTTCAAGTAGAATAACAACCTCAATACACATGTGAAACACAGAGAAAGGAGGGATTTGGTGAAGTCCATTTACACTGAGAGAGGCCATGGGTGTTGCACCAACTGGACAAGTTCTATACAGATGACATACTTAAGGAGTGCCTGATGCCATGGCATTTTTAGTTACAATTACTTCCTGTACATCTGAAAGTTGGACAATGAATAAGGATGACAGAGTAAGAATCTATGCCTTTGAGTTGTAGTGTTGGCAAAAAGTACTGAATATCTATCTCATGAACAGCCAAAAGAACAAGTCTATCCTGGAGGAAGAGCAGGCTGGGTGCTCCTTACAGGAAAGGGTGGTGAAAGTTTATCTCACATTCTTTGGGCATATTGTCAGTAAGCCTAGTCCTTGGAAAAGGTCATTGGAAAGGTGAAGGGTCAGAGAAGAAGAGGAAGATATCAAAGAAGATGGATTAACGCAGTGATTGTAATAATGAACTCTTTGGACATGTAACTAGGTAGGCTGTTCCCTGGAAAGGGCCATCATGCTTGGACAGATGGAAAATCACAGAGTAGATTACATTTTAGGTAAGAATTTTTCTGAGCTCTGTGCACTGGGGAACAAGCTCATGATCATAAGGGTTGGTGTCACCATTTTTTCCGCTCTTCATCTCTGAGTGTTCTGCAGAGCCTCCAACATCACTATGTTCAGGCAGAGCATCCAAAGTTTTATCACCTTTGTGGTCCATAGAAGCCACTAAGAATTTCCCTTTTTCCCTGGAAAACAAGTGGTGGTTGCTAATTAAGATAACTGTTTACTTTGGGTCTGGATTTGCTGCACCTTTCTTCATAGTACGACACCAACTGCTTAAGAAATAAAGATGTTTCAGTTCATCTATTAAACAGATAAGAAGAGGAGCGTTTTAATAAGTCCAGCCTCTGAAGAATGGCTTAAACTCTGTTAAATACATAGCATTTGGCTTATGTTTGTAAATAATGCTTTTTAAAAACCTCATGATTTTCATGTACTTCTTAGTGCCTGCTGGATTGGTTAGGAGAGCTTAATGGTGTCATTATAGAAATAAGGGGGCAAAAGTGGAGTTGCTGGTCTATTTCCAAGAACATCACTGTGAATGATTAGAGAATTTTCAGGTAGTCTAAGGTGCGCCTAATTCAGGCCATGATCTTCTCAATCACCTGCTATGTATCAGAGAGCAGGACATTGAATAAGGATGACAGAAGAAGAATTGATGCCTTTGAGTTATGGTGCTAGAGAAGAGTAAGGAATATCCCATGGACTGTCACTAGAACAAACAGGTATATCTTGGAGAAAGTGCAACTAGAATGCTCCTTTGGATGCAAAGATGGCAACGCTTCATCTCTCACTCTTTGGGCATGTATCTAGGGCGGCTATTCCCTGGAAAGGGCCGTCATGCTTAGACAGATGGAAAATCAGCGAAGGAGAGGAAGACTCCCCCAGTGAGATGGATTGACTTAGTGACATCAGTAATGGGCTCCAGAGTGTCAGAGATGATAAGAATGATACAGGATTCATGTTGTTTGTAGGGTTGCTATGAGTGAGTCATACTCAACTGGACAGCACCTAACAACATGTGATTTTAGTATGACTAGACTTTTTGCTTGTTAAAAAGAAAAACAACAAATTAAAATACACCTATCTGCACACTTATCCTAATTTTTGTTAAAGTAATGCTGGAAAGGACTCAGTGTGGTTTGTAAAGAGTGCACTGCTAGAGCTGGAGGAAGCCAGTCTGTAACATTGTAAATCCAGATGACTGATGGAAAGAGAAAACCTAAGTGTGAACTGAAGACCGGTGATTAAAGCTTTTATTATATTGTCATTATACTAGGTGGGAAAGGTGACTTTGTATCAAGAAAAAAACCTCAAAGTCTTTTGTAAAGGAAGGGGCTGTTGGCTAATGTCCTAAAGATCACATATACCAAACACTGGTACTTTGCCTTAATGCTTCTTTTGTGATCTGTGGCAAATGAGACAAAGACAATGTTGTAAGATTCCCATAAAGCTCTCTTTTCTATATTAACATTTCTTTTCATTTAAATGCAATTATGGTGATAGAAATGGTAATCATTTTTTAAAAATAATTTTTCTTTTATATTGGTTTGCATACAAATTTTGTATATATTTTGTTTTTCATTCAAATACATTGTGTTTCTCCCATTCCCCTATTCATACTGTGTTTATACAATAATTCCCATACATTTTATTTTGTAAAATTAATCGCCATTGATCCATGCCTGCCATTATTCTTGCCTCTTCAGGCCCCTACTGAATCATTTCTAATTTCTTCTTCATTTCACTCTGCCTGCCAAACTCTGCAGCCTTGTGATATCTACCCCGAGTCCCCCTGCTCCCTGCCCTTCCTCCTTTGGATTTTTGTATACATCTTACTAGTAATCCTTCTATTTTTACAATAATGGTCTTACACAGTATTTGTCCTTATGAGACTGAGTTAATTCATTCAACAAAATGCTCTCCAGTTGTTTATTACTTTTCAAAATCATCGCTTGTGAATGCTACATAGTATTCCATTGTGTGAATTAATGTACCACAATTTCTCAATCCATTTGTTGATGGATATTTGGGCTGTTAACATTTTCTTATTATTGTATTTAGCACTGCTGTGAACATGAGTGTACAAATCTTTGTGTGTGTCTCAGTTCTGTTTTCCTCGGGGTGTATTCCTACCCGTGGAATAGCAGGGTCTATGAATTTCTGTGTTCAGCTTTTTGAGGAAACGCCAAACTGCCTTCCAGAGTGGTTATACCATTTTACAGCCTGACCAACAGTATATGAGAGTTCCAATCTCTCCGTATCCTCTCCAACATTTATTACTTGCTATCCTATTAAACTTTGCCACTGCTGCTGGGGTGAGATGGTATTTCATTGTGATCTTTATTTGCACCTCTCTTATTGCCAGTGATTTTGTATATTTCTTCATGTGTCTGTTGGCCATCTCAGTATTTTTTCTTAATTAAATTTTATTAATTTTAATGAAAAAAAAAATAATGAGCTCGAGCATATCAGAGATGGTGATGATGGCACCGCACAGGACAGGGTTCAGATCTGTTGGATACAGGGATCGCTGATTCGTTGTGGGCTCAGGGGCTCCTAACATTAAAACTAAAGGTTAACGCCCTCCAGCTGCAGGAACCAGTTTCCAGAACAGTTACCAATGACTTCCTCTACAAGCAAATCGGTTCCCTGTTTTACAAGCACCCAAAGGCACTAAAGCCGCAGCCAGCGTGTTATCTAGTATAGATAACGTCGCCAAGGTCTGGTCTCCCTGAGCCTTTGAGCCCCAAGGCTGCTCCGGGAGCCCTGAGGGTGTTCCCGCCCCTTGCCACTTGGCACAGAGGATGCAGGGGCGGGTGTGCCAGGCGCGGCGGCGGCGCGCTCCCCAGCTGCCCCGCACCCCCAGCGCTGTGCCCACGGTGCACTCACTGTTGCTGGACTTGAGGTCCCGGTGCAGAATGGGCACGCCGGCGCCCTCGTGCAGGTAGAGCATGCCGCGCGCGATCTGTAGAGCCCAGTCGACCAGCACCCGCGGAGGAATGCGGCGCGCGCGGCGGGGCCCGGGGGCGCGCGGGTCCGGGGCGGCAGCCAAGGCGCGGTTGAGCGCTCCCCCGCGCGCGAACTCCAGCACCAGGCAGAGGTTGGGGTGCCGCAGGCAGACGCCACGCAACTGGATGATGTTGGGGTGCCGCAACATGGAGAAGAGCTTGGCCTCACGCCGCACGCTCTCCGCCGCCGCTGTTGCGTCCTGCTCCGGGTCCCGGCGCGCTGCCTTCACTGCCACCTCCTGTCCCCGCCAAGTGGCCCGGAACACCTGCCCGAAACCGCCAGCGCCGATGAGCTCCCGCAACTGCAGCTGCTTGAAGTCGATGTGCTCAGGGGAGCCGGGCCGCGGTGGAGACTGGGAGCGCGCGGCCGCGCGGGGCGCCACGAAGTCGGCGGGGAAGACGCCCAAGGGCTGCTGCAGCTGGCCGGCCCACCAGCCCTCGCCGCCGGTCACCGCGGCGTCCTGGGACAGCACCTCCACCAGCTGCCCGCGCCGCAGGCTCAGCTCGTCCTCGCCCCGCGCCTCGTAATCGTAAAGCGCGGCCCACAGGGGTTCCGAGCCTGACGGCCCCGCGCACGAGCCGCACGACGAGGCGGACGACGACGACGAGCCCGCGGTCACAGGAGTCCCCAGCTCTGGGGACTCAGGCCTGCTGGGGGAGGCCATGGAGCGGTGGCCCGAGGGCGTGGGGGTGTCTCCTGGCTCAGCCTCCTGGCCGGCCTGGCGGGCGCATCGTCCTATGGTCTGCGTCCCCACGGCTCCGTCGCAGGCCGTGAGGGAACCCGGAGGGCAGCCTACGAAAGTGGGATTCACTGCTGTTTCACTGGCCTGAGGTCAGGCCTCAGGCAGAGATCTCCCTCAGCCACCCCGGATGCTGCAGGGGCCGCGCCGGCACGAGCGCTCCATGGTGGCTCCCAGTATCGCCAGCGAGTGCACAAGCCGCCCCGCCCCGGACCGCCCCCTGGAGGGACCGCCCAGCCCAGTCCTCCCTCGAGAGGACCGCCTCCGACCACCCCCCCCGGCCCGCCCCCCAAGGTGGGGACCTCCCAGGACAGCCGGGCCCGCCCCCCCCCGGGAAGACGGCCCAGCCTTCCCCGACCTCTCCCCAAATGCTCCGCGCTCCTCCAGAGTCCATCCAACTCGATCCGCCCTCTGGTACCGCCTCCTCCCTGGCCATGCCCGCCCCTTTCCCCGCCCCTCGGCACCGCTGTCACGCCCACTAGGCCCTAGGTCCCCCAAGCGTCCACGGCCCCGCCTCAAGGCTCCGCCCTGCCCCAGACACCTGCGCTGCATACGTGGAGGCAGCGCACCTCATGGCCTAGAGAAGGCGCGGAGAGGGGGCCGGAGCTGGAGCTGGCCCAAAGGAACGGAAGTTTCCAGTACATTTTAAGTTAAGTGTGGGGATGTGCTGTTGGATGAATGATTCGATGACTCCCACTGGTGGGCAGGGAGGGGCCAGAAAGCTTTAAGGACCCTAAATCTGGGGCTCTGGGGTGTGAAGGAGAGGATTGCGTGATAGTACATACCAAGTGACAGGACACCTCTGAATAGGAGGCAGGAGGAGGGAAAAGTCCAGAGGGATCTCAGATGCAGAGGTCACACAATGCCACATCACCTGTGTACTTGAAACCACACTGCGTTTTAGACCAGAAAGTTCCTTCATAAAAAAAAAAAAAAGAAAGTTCCTTCATGACTGGTATCCCTCCGTTTGCCACTTGCACCCCTGTGGCTTGAATTACGTGGAACAACTGGGTGCTGGAGGCTCTGGCCTCGTAGGGGCTTATGCCTTCAGAAAACTAAAAACCTCATTGCAATCAAGTTAGAGTTCCAGCAAGTTTTCACAGGCTGTAAATCCCACAGGAGGAGATTGCCCAGCTTTCTCTCACAGAACCATTGTCAGATTTGAACTGTAGACCTTTGGGTTAACAGCGCAGCTTCCCACCCACTAGGCGGCCAGAGCTCCTCCTCAAGAAGGCAGATCCTAAGGGGGCTCTGGTGACCTAGTGCAAGAAGCTGCACTGCAATCCCAGGGCAATGCGGTTCGAATCCACCAGATGATCTCCTGGAGGAGCGGCAATATCCCTCTGTACTGGTTAGATCCGATTTGACGGTACACACAAGAAGGCAACTCCTAATTCCCTCCCAGAAAACATGGATCAGGCAGGAGAATAACTGTAATGGGCACTGAGTTTTCAATGGTGTGCTCATTCTTTAAACCAGTTACCATAGGGCCTTCACTGACTGATGATGAACACAGGTAGGTACCAAAGTGAATATGCTCCAAACGGTTTTCATTTTCATAAGTGGGTCCTCAGGTGCCTGTGAGTGGGATTAAACCATCAGCCTTTCAGTTAGCATCAGGCATAGTCAACGGCACTTGCCAGGGTCCCTCCAGCACTAAAGAAGGCTGTTTACTAGGTGCTCTAGCACATGGGATAAAGGGCACACACAGTGTATAGGTACATACTCAGAAAGCAGGACCTGTCTTAACCAATAGGTCTCCCCTCTCATCATGTGGACTGTGTAGCAAATAATCATAATAGCCTTCAGACCAAGGATATAAGTTTAGAGACTAAGGCACATCTGACCCAAGCCATGGCATTCTCAATAGCTTCATATGAGTGAAAGCTGGGCAATGAATAAGGAAGACCAAATGAGAATTTAAACCTTTGAATTGAGGTGTTGGCTAAAAGTATTACATATTTGTTGTTGTTGTTATGTGCTATTGAGTTGCCTGTGGCTCGCAGTGACCCTATGTACAAGAGCCTTAAACCCTGCACTATCCTGAATGAATTTTAATGTCTCTGACACACCTATCCTCATTACCCCAGGCACTGAATCAATCCATCTGATTGAGGGTCTTGTGCTGTCGCTCCACCCTCCCAGGCATGACGTCCCTTTCCAAGGACTGGTCCCACCTTGCAAAATGTCCAAAGTATGTCAGAAGAAGCTTCAGAATCCTTGCCTCCAAGGAACAGCCTGGTCTCAGCCTCTCTAGGATGAACCTGTTTGTTCTCCTGGCAGTCCATGGTATATTCAATACTCTTGTCCAGCACCACAGCTCAAAGGCATCAATTCTCCATCATCCCTAGTCATTGTCCAGCTCTCTGATGCATAGCAAGTAATTGCAAACCTTTGGAAGCAAGAGTGGCATCCACTTCCTAAATAACATGCCTCTGGAAACTCTATGAACGTTAATAAATGTCAATAGTTGTAGAGGGGCTTCAGGCCTTTTGTTCATGGGGTCACTATGAGTCATGCTGGACTCAAAGGCAATCAGCAACTACAATAATGGCCTGGATCAGGCGCACCATAGTCTCCAGACTGACTGTTGCTCTTCAGTACTTTGGAGAGGTCTCTGACAGCAGACTTTCCTGATGCAATACATCTTTTAATTTCCTGGATCCTTGTACCAAGAGTGTTGATTGTGGAGCCAAGCAAACTGAAGCTGTTAACAATCTCAATCTCTTCACCATCTATCATGATGCTGCCAATTGGCCCAGTGGTGTAAATATAGGTGGACAAAATAATAAGCAAATCTGCTTTGGTGGAAGTACAGGCAGTGTGCTTCTTAGAAGTGAGGATGGGAGGACTTCATCTCACATGTGTTAGGCATGTTATCACAGTCCCTTGAGTAGGTCATCATGTTTGGAAAGGTCGACGGTCAGCAAAGTAGAGGAAGCCCCTCAAGTCTTGGACTACCAGATGGACTGCCACAGCAACTGAACCATGGGAGCTGTGATGGTGACACAGAACGGAGCAAAGTTGCAGTCTGACATACAGTGAAAACTGGGACTGAGCATACAATAATGTTAAAGCACATATGAGGAATGGGCTGTCTCTTCCATTTTCTTTCCATCCTTCTGCTCATAGTGTTTATTGTCTATATCACATTGAGCAACTCTCTGTGTCTCTGTCTCTGTAGCTCATTATGAACCCAGGGCCATCGAATTGATTACCGGAATAGTCTTTTCAAGAGACTGTCCATCTGTATGCACTATAGTGGCTGAAGAATTTGAACTCCTGACTTTCTAGTGAGTAATACAGTGACTCAAATCCACAAGTGTCTCCAAGCGAGGAAGGTGGGCAATGTCTGATGGCAGAGAGGCTGTTCCAGAGTAGGGCTGCGGGACACCTAGGAACTTAGAAAAGAGAGCTGGGGTCTGGTTTGGAAGTACTCTTCTGAATGTGCTGTTGTGCTCTGAAGAGAACTATTCTCCTGAAGGAAGACCCTGTGTGTGTCTTTCCATTCAAAGTCTTCTAAAACTGGATGGCACTTTGTCATTCACCCTGGCTTCTCTGTTGTTGTTGCCAAGTGCCATCAACTCAATTATAACTCATAGTGACCGTGTGAAGGACAGACCTTCCTTACCATCATCTCTAATATGCACCAGCCCATTGTTACAGCCATTGTGTCAATTCATGTTGAGGGTCTTCCTCTCTTATCTCTGATCCTCCATCTTTTCCAGCATGATGTCTTTTTCCAAGGACTGGCCCCACCTCAACAGTATGCTCAAAGTATATGGGATGGTGTTTACCATCCTTTCCTTTAAGGAGCACCCTGATTGCACTTCCTCCAGGAGAGACTTGTTTGTTCTTTTGACAGTACATGAGATATGCAGCACTCTTCTCCAGCACCACAATTAAAGGTATCAATTATTTTATTATTCTTAGCCATTGTCCAACTCTCGGCTGCAGAGGAAGCAACTGAAAATGCCATGGCTTGCACCATAGTCTTGAAACTGACATACTTGCTAGTTAGCACTAGCGGTCCTTGACAGCAGATGAAAATTCAGTATATCTTTTGATTTCTTGACTGTTCTACTGACTGTCAAAACACAGCTCCCAAGTCCTAGAGGAATCAAATGACAATGTCTTCTTAATTTAGGTGAACTTGAGCTCTCAAAAGAGACTCATACTTGGCACAAGGCTGCATATTCCACACCTGCATTCAGAGACTTCTCCTAAAGACCTTCTCAGAGGCTCCAGCTGTGTGGGTCTCTGAGACCTCTTCCCTGTTTAGTTCCTCTGAACAGGAAAAGCCCTGGCAGGGAATCTGTCCAAAGTCAATAATTAAAAAATCACTATTTCTTTGTTTTATAAATCTGTAAGGAAAAAAAAAATTCCTTCCATTTATACTTTAGAGGCTGTTAGTGGTTTAGAGGTTGAATCTTCAGCTTCTGTGGTTGGGCTCCAGGGCTGATTCCTGGCCAGTGTAACTCTTGGGCAGCTGCCACCCACTTGTCAACAGAAGATTATATTTTATGGCGATGCTGAATGGGTTTCACTGGAGTTTCCAGACTAAAACAGAAAGATTTTGCATAGGGTTTCTAGAATTCAAAAGTTGGAATGGTGACTTCTAAAACTCTTAGAAAGATTGTATTTAAAAGCCAGTAATTTTTGCACAAAACAAGTCATACATATCTTAAGACTAATGTTACATATATTAAGCCTAATGTTATCTTATTGTTGCCAGTGTTTCTATTATTTATTTATCATTAGCTATGCTGCAATAAAATAAGTATCCCTACTTGGTTTATGAAAGAATTGTTGTTGTCATCAAGTTAGAACTGATCCTCCAGTGGATTTTCAGAGTCAGTAAATGACATGGGAAGACACTGCCCATCTTTATCCTGTAGAGCATTGGGTGGATTTGAACCATATGCCTTTGTCTTCGCAACACAATTCCTTACCACTAGACTAGCTCCCTTATGATAGAATTAAGAGAATATATAGAATGAATCTATATACAGAATACATAGAATTAACCAAAATGCTCCTCTCACCTACTTTGGGCATGTTATTAGGAGAGGCTGGAACAGTGAAAGAGGAAGACACTTAGCCAGATGGATTGACACAGTGACTGCAACAATGGCCTTGTCAGAGATTGTGAGGATGGTACAGGA